TGGCTCCCCTCTCTACACTCTCTGATTTTCAAATATCTGTTTGCAGGGGGATGTGTCACTTCCAAACAGATGACCTAGTTTTTTACACACGCACCATCTTAACAAACATTGAAGGCCCCTCTCCACATACATTACGTTTCTGCCAACACTGGAAACCCGTCTCTTTTTTTTACAGGCATTCAGTTTACAGCAAAGAATGAACGACCGTGGAAAATGTCAAGTATGGAATTGGTTCATTTTTAATTATCGCGGGCCGCTCGGCACACAGCTGCTCTACAGTTTGCTGTTGTTGTTATTACTATTTTTTATTTTCTATTCCCCGGCATTTAATTGGAGCTGAAAACAGCATGACCTATTTTGTTTGGGGAGAATGCTCTTAAAGCGGGGCCCTCCTCGGAGAGGTGGCCCTGAGCTCCATTTCTCCTCAACGTGTAATGCAGATGACTCACAACCTGCACGCAGCCAATTCATCAGCCGGGTTACATAAGAAGACCTAACGAGTCCCCCTATTGACACACGTAGCCGCCAGACAAACTTTCCACCTCCAATTTGACTTTGGCTCAGGCCGAGCACTTCACCTGATCACCAAATCAGATCACCTGCCAACAAAGCGGCTCCTTTTTGTGTCCTAAAGAATACAACTCCTGCTTCGCCGGCTGGATCACAGTGAGTGCGCTGTTGTGTCGTAGTGAACGCATTTCTAAAAAAGGCCTAGTTGAGTGTTTAACCCACACACACAGCATGCTGACCCCCCCCCCACACACACACACACACACACTTAAGTCACAGGAAGGATAGTGTGACTGATCCAGCAATCCTTTCATTGTTGTGGTAAAACAAGAGTCTCCCTAAGCGGCTTTAATCTCTCGTTTAGTGTCGGGGCAACAAATGCCTTTTTTTAAAATATTCCAATCCAATATAAAGAACATTCAATCCCCGTCCTGAACCCTAACTAATGCCACGGTCCATTTGCTGCTGGTAGTTTATTATTACTATTATTTCTTAATAAGCCGTTTTCCCTCTCAAAGGGTCTGTGTCCATTTCCAAATAGTACCATTGTGATTTAGGGAGACAAAAAAAAAAAAAGCCAGGATGTCAGATTGTGAGCCGAGTAAAGCTTCTCTATTAAAAGCCGGAGTTAAAGCCGCCGCTCCGTCGACAGCGTGTCGCATTGTAAAGTCCATCATCATTTAATCTGTGGATAAATATGTCCCTGAGTGATTATGTCTTTCCCCAGCTTGTGCTGATGAAGCGAGACGTGTTGAGCCATTGTTAAAGGTGAGACAATGGATGTTCTGGGTTTTAAGGTGGAGTATTTTGGGGTTCTACAGGAAGTGACAAATACACAGCTGATAGACGGCTGCAGGTTGAAAGACACAGATTAGTGCTCTCTTTTGTCAGGCTCTCTTCTACAGCGACCCCCCCCCCCCCTTCTTCCGGTTCTCACTTTCTGCTCAGTAGGTAGTGCTGCTGATGCACCGGCTCTCCATTTCATGGTCTTCTCCACTCCATAGACCGAGCACTGGCCTAAATATGAGGGTGCAGCTCGCGATTCCTCAAAAGTTTGAATTTTTCCTTTTTTCTTAAGGAAACAAAGAGTATAACGATGCTGCTGCTTATCTGCATTTCATTAGTCCGACCGTTGGCACAGCCTCCTGTACATCAGAGACACGGTCACTCATTACAGCCTCTTCTAAATGTCCATTTGCTGTAAAAGGACCATCTTCACCAATGCTGCTATACCCAATCACAGCTCTGCTAGAACTCAAACATGTGACCAGCCGATGCTTAACTGACCGGTTATTAACATCAGCCACATTCTTCACAATCATGTAGGAATCATTAGCGTGTAACGAGTAATGTGAATATGTAACTGCACTGTTACACGCTCCGACAACCTCTGTTCTATCACCTAGTTACAAGAACATAGTAAAAGAAAGCCGCCCAGTCACAAGGACTCGTACGACATCATGAGGACGGAAGTCAACAGATAAAACAAAGACCTGGCGCGCACGCCCCTCCGCTGCTGCGATTGGATGGCTGGGTAAAAAGCAACAGTTCAACCAATAACTTTTTAGCTCGAGGAGACCAGAAGAAATGGAGAAATAAACCATCATCCGTGTGGCGAACAGATGCTCAGCGCCGCGAGTATTTCAAATAAATCTCCTGTGTCTTTGCCTTTGGAGGGGACCATTTGTCAAAGCCTCCCGTCCACTTCCCCTCTCTTGTATCCCCCTCCACTGAAACAAATGTTGTCAATCCGTCGGCCCTCCCGTCCCGTCTCGATCACGGCGCTGGAAGCGGGACAGACAGAGCCTGGGGTTTTGGTTCTGAGCGGGATGCGATGCTGTCAGGGGTATCAGGTGAGCGCACGTACGGATCTCCCTCCAGCACCACCCCACTCCACGTCTCACTTAACCAGTTCTGACACCATGCCGATCCCACCGTGGGTGGTGCACACCGACCGATCAGCTGCCTGACTCTCCGCTCTCGTCTGCTCATCCGGTCGCACGCGACGGCGCTCACTTTTGCACCCCTTGTTGTTTTTGAAGTGGCATTTTACGACGGTTTCGCCAGCCTCCCGCGATGGCCCATCCAGTTTCTCTCTCTGAGGTATTACCACTGATTTAAAAAGCTGATGACCTGAAACTATAAGCCTTGACATACGGACCGGGGGGCGGGGGGCGGGGGGGGTTTGCAGCCGTTTAGCCGCTCGCCACCGCGTTCGAGCGCGTACTTCAATGAAACCTCAGCGGAGCGTCACGAGGACGAAGGCAAACAAATGACCGGCCGGAGCCGGACGGGACAGAGGAGCCACGTCGGCAGCACGAGTGGCGGCGGGACGCTTCCTATTGTTGCCTCTGAAAGAAGAAGATTGCGAGGCAATCATAAAGCATCCGGCGAAGCAATTTCTTTCTCTTATTCAAGTGAAAAATGATTCCGTGCTGTCACAAAAGACTCCCTAACAAGGTGCTTTAAACTCTCTGCCAGTGCATCGCTGCAGGGTGTCAAAGAGTGGATAAGCTATAAATGAAGCTTAAACTCAAAAGTCTGTCTCTGGTAATAGCAGCGTTTCGTTCCCTCTCCAATGTGCATTTGATGTGGAGCTCAGATTAACAGGGTTAAATCCCCCCCCACACACACACACACACACACACACACACCTCACTGTCTCACAGTAACAACACGGGCATAACGAGCAGATTGTCGACAACAGGAGCACTTCTTTTAAGGGTATGAATATTGTACAGCCTTACTATCTGCTCCTTTGTGCGCGGAGGTGAACTCCACCTCCTCCACGAGCGCGGCGCGGAGAACCGACGTGACGCTCCCTCGGAGTACGCGAGAGCGAGCAAAGGCCTTGATGTTAAGGTAGTGGACTGTAGTCACAGCTCGGTGTATCTCGCCGTTCAGACTCAGTGGACCGTTGTCTGTCTGTCTTCTCACAGCGACCAGCTCTGCAAGGTCTCAGTGTGCGGAAAACCATAGAATTGTGCTCTTTTATTCTCTGGAGTCTTAGTTTGCGTTCGAAGTGAATATCCCACCATGCAATGCAAAAGTGTCAGTGCCATGTTGACATGTCAGTTTATATGGTTCCACTTTGCTAGAGGGACCTTAGTTTACTTTATGATTCTCACAAAAAATGTAGTTGCACAAGATTGGCACGGGTTACCTTGGTTACGCTTCTCCCGCTGGACGAGATGATTCAGACATACGTGCTTGGCTCATTTTTGGTGGTCTGTCTAGAATGGAGAAACACTTGATTTATGTATTATTTTCCATGAATGTTGCCAGGGACACACTGTACGTGATTGTGTAAATGAACACCACTTCAGACATTCAGTTCGGGCCACTTTTAATTTATTGTGGAAGCAACCCTTATTTATTTCTGTCCTTAAAGCTGAGGCGCACGTAAAATGAGTCAATTTAATGACAATTACATGCCTACATATCCAGACACTGGCTGCTAATTACTCTTTCATTCGGAGTACAAAAACATTCGTCCACTCAATCTCCTATCGACGGATCTGATTCCTTAAGTGACACCGTAAACCGCAGATGCATGAGCACAAAACCCGCACAGGTCGCTGACATCAACCCGGCTCCCATATGTCACAATTAGGAAGCCCGCAAAGGTCAGCTCACATCTCGGCCCGCGTTACTATATCGAAAATCCAATATATGGTAAAGATCCAGCCGGCCCCCAGATGTAGGGAGGGCGTCGCCGGAGCGTCGCAGATTCGGGGGGGAAAGCGGCGCAGCACGTAGAGACCCGAGGTCAGGCCTCCGGGGCGTCTGGGAAGGACGCACACCTGTGACGGGATTGCGGTGTGATCCGCGGGAGGAAGGGGGATGATTGGCAGGAAATGTCATACAGCGGGCGGGTGTCAAAGATGGAGACAAAGGAGGGGGGCTCACGAGGAGAAAGGGAAGTGGCATCTTCAGTGAGTTACAGATTGGGCCACGTCTTTGTGCTCCGAGTGCGAGTAACGATCCCCTGACCCGTCACATGTGCACGACTTAAAAAGTAGCTTTGCCTCCCTTTTTTTTTTTTTTTCTTCTCTTATCATTTATTTTTCCCAAATACAAGGATTAGTCAGGGTCACCGTTATTCTTTTTTCCTCCTCCCCACAGGCTTGTATTTCACAGAAGGATATGCACAACCTTCTGGGCCGCGCACCGCGGGGGCCTGAGCCAGGGTCAGATACCTCAGAGGGGGGACGGCAGAGCGAAGACCATCCGCTGCATTTAAATTTCTGTCAATGTGTTTTGTTTGACCTTGAGAGACCGCTTCGTCCTGATTTATTGAAGTCGGGGGTTTTATTTTTTCTGGGCCCTCCAGTTGAACCAGGACGTATTTTGATCCTCGGCCGTTCCTTTATTTTGCTACCTTTTAAGAGGCAGCAATGGTCACAGGTGATGTGTGCCGGCGGAAACGATTGCTGAGAATTGGCGACCTGTTTGTTCATCACCGTGAATCTGAACTGTGTTCCTCTCAGGGCGGCGCTCCCATGGCCCACCCGGAGGACGAGCTGGAGCGCCTGACCAAGAAGATGCTGTTTGACATGGACAACCCGCCGTCCCAGGAATACTTTGGTAAGAAAGATGTCTCACACACACATAAAATGAACCTGTCGAACTGTCAGGACGCACCGGGACACTTGAATAGAACGGGTACCAGTAACACCTGCGGGTGATCCCGAGAAACCAGAGTGCTGGATTTAACAAGTCTTAACAAGTCAACTGAGGACCAACTCTTTCCCAATCAAAGAATAGAAGACCAGTTACATTCAGCCCCATGGTGCATTTCATTTATCAGGATGTAATAAACATTTTAATGAAGGTTTTGCAAATATTTTTGAAGCGGATCACCCGTAGCTTTAGGCGTATTATTTTAAGAGTAATGGTAATATGATTCAAATGTAAAGTTTAGAGATTGTGTCTTTGCTGATTGTCCAAATGCTTCATAATCCACACGCTGTCCCTCTGCCTGTGAAATTGAGGTAATTGATTCCTCGGCCTCTTCCTGCTCCACTGTTGCCACACTGTGATAGCATCCCGTTCCGTTAGCCCGCTACGCTTGACCTCTCGTAGTGATGTGCTTTTGCACGTGAGCGTCATGTACCGTGTATCTGTGAAAGATCGTTTCCACTAGAAGTGGTGCTTTATCGTCCCGCTTTAAGCTCCTCTGTCCCAACGACAGATGTGGCGCAGCATCCTTTTTCACACATCAAGCCCTCTGAACTACAAGAAGCATCCTTTTTTTTCTTTCTTTTCGCTCCCGTCACATTTGATCCCTGTGGCCTTTTTCACAAAACGTCATCTATATGTAAACCGCTCAAACATGACCGAGATAATTCCAACATGTATTTTTTTGCGTTACAGCCCAGAAACGATCCCATAAATCATAATAAAGAAAAAGAACAGAAGTTGAATATCTTTTAATAAAATTGTTTTCTCATACATCGTTCATCTTACATGATGTATTCAAGGACTGTCGGAAAGGTGAAAATATGACAAAAATGTAAATTCTTTACACCAGCTGGCTATGATAAACTTTTGCCATCATTAAAAGAAAACATGCTCTTCTCTGGGTTTCACAGGAAGCAGTTCTGAGCCCATCGGCGCATCTAGTATGATCTCATTAGACACTCTTCACTGTGACATTGTGTGAAGCTAAAAGGCAAACAATCTTCGGGAGAAATGTGAACCCTAAACTTGTGGTTTCACTTCAAAAACCAGAGGCATGGCACGTTCACGCACACGCTTTCCTGGATTAGCCTGCCTAACGTGGCCCACAAAGTGCCGTTTGGCGGCACGGCTCCAGGACGTGGCGTTCAGCGCAGGTGTGCGTGATGCAGACGACGTCGACCTGGTATTCTCTGTGCTTGTTATCTCTTGATTTCCAAGTGTAGACACAGCAGCACATCCGGCAGTCTGGGAAGCCGTCCTCAAGGTAGAGTCTCAAAAGGAAGTCAGTGCGATCAAAGGATAAGGTGCGACTCGTGCTCGGGGTGGAATGAGAAAGAGATAAAGGCCTTGGACAGATGAAACATCCTCATTCTGATAAAACTCTATCTGGTTTGATTGTCCAGCTTTTTACACCATTTCTTCCCACTGTTTTTCTTCCTGGAGCACTTGACACATTTTGTTCTCTTTCGTAAAAAAGAAAGAAAAGAAAAAAAATCAACAGAATGAATAAATATATAAATAACTGCCAGGATTAGACAAAAAACCAATTTCCATATTATTTAGCAAAAATAGGATTGAAAAGAGACGGCTCCTGTGCATTTCTATTTTGTTTCTGTTTTTCCGCCCTCTGTAACCTGCGCTGCCAGCGAGTGCCATCCCTCCGCGCACTCCTCTCCAGCCTTTAATCCCCTTTGCCCTGGAATTAATTCCCATGCCCATTAGAAACCTCACTCAATACATTCAATAGGACTCTGGAGCAGGCTTTATATCAGCACATAATCGCGCAGCGCACCACGATGGCATGTGTAGGTGTATTATAGCTGCAGGGACATGTATTTAACTGGAATTAAGGGATATTCGGCTTCACGTTGGTACGCGCTGGTGTAAAGACCTTAATTGGTCCACATTAGACATAGGTCAAACGGATCTGCTGGCTTAAAGCAAAGTGCAGTCGTTTTTTACAGAGGAGCGTCCCTCAAAGCCTCGCTGGCCTAGTTTGTTTTGGAGGGGGGGGGGTTTGCTCCGAGGTCCTGGCCTCCGACTCCCCTGCTTATAGCTCTCACACGGGCGGAGGGGTAGCGACAAAACAAGGGCATGCAAGTCTAGAAATGGGTCATATGCGAGCCGAGGTAGCCAGAACGAGTTAGGCATAGCGCACACGTCCCCGGCTGACAGCGGTTTGCTGTCGGAGGGGAGGGAGGGAGGGAGGGAGGGAGGGGAGAGGTCATGGTGTGGTTAAACAAGGCGACAGCTGCATTCACTGAGAGAGATAGAGAGGGGATGAGGGCAGAGAGCCCGAGATTGAGGTGACCGTAGGGACTCATTAGGACCGGCTTTCAAGCACAGGCACATGCCGTTCTGCAAGTCCACAGAGCCCCCGTCCTCCCCCGTCCTCCCCCGCCGAGTACTGTACATACAGCCGCCGCGGTGACGTCCGGCATGTCCTATGATCCATTGCTGCGGGATAATCAGTCCCCCAGCATGAGCCTTTTTGTAATTACAAAGAATATAATGGCACACAAGCCTCTTCTTTTCTTTGTTTCTTTTGTCGGGTGCAGGGGGGGTGGGGGGGTGCGAGCACTCGTTGAAACCCCCCGGCTAGTAATTAACAAGATTAATCAAAGTGGGTCTGCGATCTCTAGCGCGCCACTGGACTGGAAGGCCGTCTTCCTATAGTGGCGGAGGTTTTTTTCCTTTTTACCGTCTTTGATGAGCCTCTTATCTGAAACGGCTGCAGTGCGTTTCCATTGGTCCAGAGGGGGTTAATTGAGATGAATTAACGTTACACTGTGGAGCGGTGATCTCACAAGGAAACTTTTTTTCAGTCAACGGAGCTCCGGCTCCTAAGTTACGCAACGCCGCGATGCTCTTTTTAAAAAGCACCGATGAGGACTTTTCTTTTCACGGGGAGGCAGGCGCATTAAAAAGCAGCCGTCCTCTAGATGCAGCAACAAAAAACCTGAAAATGATTCCCTGCATGGAAGAAGGGCTTTTCTTCTGAGAAAACCTGGTTCTCGAGCCAGAAAATTCCTCCTGTGATTGAAGCATCTTTGCAAAGCAACTGATTAGTCCTGATTTAGAGTTCCAGATTAGATTTGAGTAATCTGAAAGAGCCTTTTCTCCAAATGTCATCATCCGTCATCTTTAATCCACTTAGGTTGTGCGTAGGTGTACTGTGTTTGTGGAAATCTAATAAGACACAGCTACTCAGCTCGCGGTACACGTGCCTCTACGTTTGTGCATCGGAGGAACTTAACAATATTTTGTCACCGCTCCGTTTCTTGTCAACCCCAAAAAAAAAAAACAGGACATAAAGATGAATAATTGAAAGGATGAGACATCCTGCATTATTTACAATTAGTGATGATGATACTTATTCCGTGCCGTTCATTCTTCTGCAGAGAAACTCTTTTTTTTATTTTTTATTTCCCCTTTAATACTGAAGTTGAGAATTCCTTCATTTGATTCCCAGACTTTCAGTACTTCAATGTGTCGAAATAAAAGAATTCTGATACCCAATCAATATTTATGCAATTTTTTGTCATGGCATAAATGTTTTTGTAATGTTGTCATCAGACGGCAGAGAGGGGGAGTCGTTCATCTGGGCATACTGTACCCGGGCACAGGACGCCGAGCTGTCGGGAACGCCTCCTCCTCCTGGTCTACAGCCGGCCCTTTGTTTTTATCATTAGAGGAGGAGGAGGAGGAGGAGGAAAAAGGCATGCTTTGCCGTTTCCCCCTCATAATGTTGGCTGCAGGAGCCCTCATAATTTATAAGACACCTCACATGAAATGTTCATGAGGAATCTTGGAAGAGATACAAATGGCGGCGGCGCTCCAGCGACGGTACGGGCCGGAGGAGTCGGGCGCCGCTCGGCTGAGGTAAATGGGTCAGAAAAAGTTTTGCGTTCACCCAGTGTGCTCTGGCGGAGTGTTTTCTTCATAACCCAACTGAGCATCACAACTTAATGTATTAATAGGCTTCCAGTTTAGACAGCTTTGTGCATTGTCTAAGATGCTCCGGTGGAGCCAATTTGCATTTTACTGAGGTCGCCCTCAGCAACCTCTTAGGAGTTTGCTGTTAGATGTGCCTCCACATGTCATAACAAGTGGGATGTGTGTCAGAGTAAAACCTTTTTGTGGGCTTAAAAAGACGCCCCCACCCTTTCCCCCCCCGCTTCCTCACCCCGCTGCACCTCCACAGTCTTGCCTTTGGCCAACCGTCTTCCCCAACTTCAGCTAGCTGCTTCTCTTGCGCGCATGAAGGTTTTCCTTTAAAGTCACGCAGACACGATGCGTTTAAATTTAGAGACTTTTTCATACATGAAATGCAGCACAAAGTACTATGAAGTTCTTTTTCAAATTAAAGTAATCCTGAATATTTTCATGAAATCCGACCCTTGTTTTTAAAGCCAGTAATGTTTGGCCTTCTATCAGCGATATCCTGTGTATATATCTATATGTTTGCATTCTTTAGTTACCTCACTATATGGTAGGTTTCATCACATATGGCGGAGTCCGCCTTTCCCGTCCCGAGTTTACATTATTAATGTGGAAAACTTTGCATAAGTGACTCGTAGGAGTGCAATCCTGTTTTTAGTTTATTCTCACTGATGTCAGCCTTCCTGCTCACTGTTGTCCTATACAGCTTTAACTAAATCAATGCTAAAGCGAACCCAGCCCTTCCTTCTGCAGCTTGTGGAAAAAGGAATAGCTTCCTCCAAACACAAGTTCACATTTAGCATGAAATCAGATCATGTTTGATGCCATTTGAATTCATTAAAATGTGGTGTTATTTGCAACTGCACATTGTTGCACAGCATGTTGCACAGCCATGGTCCTACAGAGGCCCGGAAGGGAGAAACCAAACAGCGCTATAATAAAAAAATAGTTCAATAAGGAAA